CAGTCCGGTCAAAATCGGTCCCCCTCCCCCTCTTTGAAAAATTAGGGAGGAAGAGGGGGACATACATATATATATATATATATATATATATATATATATATATATATATATATATATATATATATATATATATATATATATACATATATATATATATATATATATATATATATATATATACATATATATATATATAAATATATATATATATATATATATATATATATATATATATATATATATATATATATATATATATATATATATATATATATATATATATATATATATATATATATATATATAAATATATATATATATATATATATATATATATATATATATATATATATATATATATATATATATATATATATACATACAGAACTATTTATTAGTGAAAACATATGAAAACCAAAATTTTTTATATAATATATTTAGTATATTTGATAAATAAGCCTCTACAATTTTTTTAGTTCAACAACTTGATTATGATTATTATCAACTCTGTAAATATAAATTTTCTAATGATCTAAATCTTTATAAATTAGATATTTTATTTTATATCTTAATTATAAATTATTATTATATTAATAATCAATAAAATAATTTCATGCTGGATATTTTTTCCCAAGTAATGAGGCTATTTTGGCTTTTCTACTGCTCGTTTAACATGTTTCTCTAACACCCGGATCAAACTTTGAAAACAACTCAACAATTTTTTAAAAATTTACCATTATTTTCTGTGAATAATCGTCTGAAGATATTAATCTTATAAATTATTATTAACTATAAATTAAATCTTTATAAATTAGATATAAATAGAAAAACAAACATATAATAACACAATTATATCCTAAACCAAAATTTAATCATGCAAGACAAATTATTAAACTTTTTTAAAAGAAAAAAAACCAATTTTCTTTCAAAGAGCCAAAAGTATTAACAATACTGTAGATTATTTTTATTTATAACAAAATGTTGTCATGGCTTTTATCCCAATTATTAAAAGCATTTGAAAACATGAAACTACCCATAAATATCTTTTAATGGTAGACACCATCTAAGAATTATAGTAATCTATATTTTCAATATTTACATGTATAAAACGAAGCTTTAAATTTAAAAGTACAATTTAAAAAAGATTACAATAAACTAATTACTTATAAAATTTTAAAAAGATTTTATAAATACTCAATATCTACTTAGACATTTTAAAAAGATTACGATTTTGAAAACTTGAAATTTTAAATTTAAATTTTAAAAAACTGAAACTTTAATTCTACCTCAAAGAAAACAGATTTATATTGAAAAGTATTTTTATTTCTTTTTAAAAATTTTAAAATGCTTTTAAACTTACTCCCTCCAATATAATTATATAATATATATATAGTATATATGATAAATAAACCTCCACAATTTCCTTGGTTTAACAACTCGATTTTGATTAATAACAACTCTGTAAACAAGAATTTTCTAATTACCTAAATAAATTTCAGATAGACAAACATAAATAACACAATTAAATCCTAAACCAAAATTCATTCATGCAAGACAAATTATTTTATATTTATTGAAGAGCCAGAAACATACTTTTTTTCAAAGAGCAAAAGTATTAACAATATTAAAGATAAATTTTATTTATAACAAAATTTTCAATAAAAATTAAATTAAGATAAATTTATAATAAAATGTTGTCATGGCTTTTATACCAATAGCCAAAACTATGTGAAAGCATAAAACTGCCCATAAGTATATTTTAACGCTAGACACAATCTAAGAATTATAACACGAATGAAAACACGAAAAATCTATAACACGAAGCTTTAAATTTAAAATTACAATTTAAAAAAGATTACAATAAGTTATTTACTTTTTAATTTAAAAAAGATTTTAGATTACCTATAATTTTAAGCTACTAAACATTATCTACTTAATGTCAACTTGGACATTTTGAACTCGTACCATGAAAGGTTGAAAGGAAATTTTTAAGAAAGCACGCGGTAAAGAAAAGTCTAGAAACTACTTAAAAAGTATATTTTACAGATACAGAACCGTGCCGTAAGTATAAAACAATAGGCGTAACTATGCGCACTAATAATAATAATAATAATAATAATAATAATAATAATATTCATTCGGCGAATAATAATTAAGATTATGGCAAAATCACATTTAATTTTAGAGTTTTTAACTATCAATGATTTTAAGATTTACAGTACAACAGCACTAAAAAGTTTTTTAAAGATTAGATAAAAAGCTACCACAGGTTCATTTGAAACTTTAGTTGCAAGGTAAAGTTTTTGTATTATTTTCTATTTTGTTAACGTACCAAAAAGTTATATATATTTTGTATGAAAATAATCTTAATTAAAACATATAACATTTTAAAATGTAGTTTAAAAGTATGTTTGTTTTTAACTTTAGAGCCTTTAGTGCATATGAAGAAGGTTGTGAAGTTGATGTTGATTGTGAGCACTCAGAGCGATTACTGCTTGATGTTTTTACTGAAAAATTTTTGTCCTGCAATCTTCCCGATCCTTTTTCATTAAAAATTGGTTGGTGTGGCGAAGAAGAAGGCATGAAATCTTGGCCCAGTCTGTTTTTTATGGACATAGAAAAATATTTTTTAAAGGTCAGTAGACAAGAAAACCTTTGTAGAAATATATTGTTATATATTGTCTCTTTAAAACAAAATGTGTTCCCTCACAGAGAGTTAATGCGAAATCTTATGATGTTTGGGCGATTGTTGAGAAAGATGCAAATGTTCAACCTGGGGGAACTATTATTGCAAGCTATTGTACTTGTGTTGCTGGATTATTAGGTATATTATCCTACTTTATTTAATTAAAATACTTTCATCTCTAAGCTTTTTATATTTCTTTTTTTTTTTCGTTGTTGTTAAATTTTATTAGTTTTGATTATGTCGGATTTGTGTTTAATTTTCTTGAAAAAAAATTTTATTTTAATTTTTTTTTTTACAGGAAGTTGTAGTCATGTAGCTGGTATGCTATTTCGTTTAGAAGCTGCAGTATTATCGGGGTTTACACAACTCACTTGCACTCAAAAACTTGCAGAGTGGAACATTCTTTCTAAAAAGAAAAAAATCGAACCAGGAAGTCTGACTAATTTTCATGTTAATGCAGACCATTACAAAAAAAAAGTTTTAAAAAGAAATTTAAATCAATGCAAAGATATTGTAAAAAAGCGTCTTGAGTATGTTTCATTTTGTAAAGAAAATAAAGCTTACCTGAAAAACAAAGAGAATACAAGAAAAAAATTTTTTAATGAAATAAAGGATCTTATACCTCAAAGCTGTTTTGCAGAAGTAATGGTTGGTAAAAAGCTTTTTTCTGAAATAAATAAAAATACTGTATATGTTGATTCAATAAAAGAAGCTGTTGAGAAATTTAAAAAAAATCCATTATTTTCATCTAAAGAAAATATAAACTTGGTTGTTGAAAAATTAGTAAGTTGCCTTCACCTAACTGATGAACAAATTAAATATACTTACGAGAAAACTATATTGCAATCTCAGTCTAGAAATTGGATAATCCATCGTAAGTGTAGAATAACTTCTTCAAACTTCAAGCAAATATACACACGTACAAAATCATATTTAAATAATCCAAATATTTGTACTACTTCCATACCAAATATCATATTAGGAGAGTCAGAAAGTTTTCAAACATTTTCAATAAAGTATGGAATCGCTCAAGAAGTACATGCAAAAATTAAATATAAACATTTAATTAAAAAATCACATGAAAATGCTACTTTTGCTAATCCTGGAATGACTATTCTTAAAACACACCCCTTTATTAGTGCTTCATCAGATATGGAAATATTTTGGTTCATGCCATGGTGCTGGATTAATTGAGATAAAATGCCCATCAAGTTTAATATTTAAAGTTCCTTATAACGAAACCTACTCTAGCCATTTAGAGAAAATTGACGGCACAATAAAACTTAAAGTTAATAGCAGCTACTATTTTCAAATACAGGGACAATTAGGTGTTACAAAAAAATTATATTGAAATGAGGTTTTTTGTTGGATAGGTTATGGCACTTGAATTTGTTTTGGTGTAAAGTTATAGCCCCTCTTGTCTTTAATAACAATGAAAAGGTTGAGCCGGAGTTACTCATAATTAAGAAGCCTTTAACTAGCTATTCTTTCCAAGATTTGTTTCAAGATGATAGCAAGAATAAATTTTTAATTGATTTCGACATTGATCTTCCTTTAGAATATAACATGTAAATTTTAAAACTATTACAAGATTAAAATTTTTGTTAGTTTTCTTTTTTTGGTCAAATGTTATATTGATTCAGCTTATTAGAAGCTTTTTGGAGATAGGTATATAAAAATATTAAAATAGATTTTTGTAAAGTACGTATTAACACTAAACTTAGACTCTTTCTCCTGTATGCTTCTGTATACTTTTAAAGTCAGTCTCCGAGGAGGGGTTTTTAAAAGTGTTCTTTAAAAGTATACAAATTTTGTGTACATGCGTATTATTTATTACAGAATCGAGACCATTCCTCTCCACGTTTTTGTAAAATTTCAAAACATGAAAAAAAAAACAAGATCAAATTTTATTGTTTGGGGTTTTCCATAAACTATACACGCAGGTATAGAGGGAAAAGATTACTAAGAAAATGCATGAATGCAAAAACGTATGAATCGGGGTGTTAAATAAAACAAATGCGTAAGTTGATTGACTATCTCTCTTAAAACTCAATTTATTTTTTTAACAAGAGCATCAAATTTCTTAAGTTTAAAAAATCAAAATATGTTACGTAACATATCTCGAACTTACTCGTTTTTTTGTTTTTATTATGTATGGATAGAGAGATACACAAATTTTGACCAAAACTTTTTTTTTCTTTAAAAAGGTTTTATATATTAACTATCATTTTTTTAAATATTTCTAAGAGAAATTAAAAATGAAAATGTTTTAGATTCTTTTAAAACCTTTGAAAATTTAGATCTAGATTCAAATTCAGTCAACCATTATAGGAACCTTTAGATTTGATAGTGCTGCACACACAATTAAAATGTCATTTAAATGTAGTAACATAGTCATTAGAAATTCACTAGATAAAATTCTGTGCGTTTTAAACCTGCGTATAACCTGTTCTACCAATATTCTCAGTTTTGCCACCTCAGTTGTCTTTATTAAATAAGTAGGTGTCATTTGCGAAACGCCATGTCTGCCAGGAGGGACTGTAAAGTAAATACTGCTACTTGAACATTCATTTACAATAGAAAATTCTTTGTCTGACATTATTCTGGAATGCGAAGGAACAGTTTTTAAAAAGTCTGAATTGTTTGTAATAAACTTGTCTGAGCATCTTCCAGTGTATGCTTCAGAAATTAATGTTATAAATTCATTAGGTCCTACTGATATTAAAAACTTCATAATATTATGATGCTTGTACTCTGACCAGATAGTTGCTTGCAGCTCTAAATTTTTTGGTGTTTCAATAAATATTTCTGAACAATCAATCACGCCTATTATGTCCGAATATTTTCCAAATCTTACAGGTGTAATAGCACGCATAATTTCTTGATCAGGAGTAAAAATAACACATGTTAATGATTTAGCCATTGCTCTTATCCATGATTGAAAAATCTCAAAACAAGATGATACTCCAATACTAAATCTTACAGCCAAATCATGATGTAGCCTTCCTAATCTCAGCTTCATTAAAACAAGCAAGAATTCATCCTTAGAACATAGTTTTCTAGGTCTACCTGTTTTTTTACAGTACTTGTATATCGTTTTTTTTGCAGTAGAAATTGAAGTAGACTTAAACCTTTTATGTATAAATGGAAGTATGAAATTATGATGCTTGCAAAATAGTTAAAAAGAAGATATATTTGTATAGAAATTACATAATTTGTCATTTTTAATTATTACTTCATGTTTATTTTTTTCTATTACAGTTTTATCAACTTGTTTATAAAAAGTTCTTTGAGTGTTAAATTGGTATTTTCAAATAATATTCTGTTTTTCATCTTCTACCATTCGTATTTGAGTCTTTAAATTCAAAATTACTAATGAAAGTTCTCTTATTATTGCTAATAATCCTATCAATAAAATAAACATATTTAAAAAATTGTCTTGGTTCAGTATTTGAAAAATGTATATACAGCTTAAAACAGCCCCAAAAACTTTTAACTTACATTTGTTTTAAATTAAGGAAGGGTTTTTCTATTAGATTGAATAATCACTCCATGATTAAACTCTTTGTTTAAGTCCTCGTACCCATATGGGTATATAGTACCCGAATAAATATGGCCTATTTATCCAGATGAGATATATTGGCAACTTATAATACATTACTAGCTAAAAAAACTGCTTTTAACATATTGGAACTTACCGAAACGGTTGTGAACAAGAACACTTGTTAGCTTGTCTTTTGCAATGATTTTGCTTGCAATCTGCGTGTAATCATTTTTTTTAATATTCTTGAGCTATTTGAGCATCCTTTCACAGCTTAACACATTGACATTTTTTACTTAAAATTAATGCTAACTTAATTATTAAATAATATAAAAAACTGGAGTCGATCATTAATTGTTTATTATGTTATTTGTTGTAAATTAATGTTGATTCCATTATTAAAATAAACGTAAACAAAGTGCTTGAAATTTTTATGAAGTTTTACATCGCATCATATCTGGAGTATTTTGCCGAACTTAAAATAGAGTTAGCAAAAAGGTCTATTCATTACTTTTTTGTTTGGATACAGGGCCGGCGCGAGTAGGTGTCACTTGGGCGGGGGAGGGGGTTGGGGTACAGTTACAAATTTTGCTGACTAACAAAAAAAAATGTCTTTGATTTTTAAAATTTGCCGACTACTATAACCATATTTGCCGACTGACTGTCTAAGATTACCTACTAACTTATCGAAAGGGTCTACATTTGCCAAATAACTAGTCAAAAAGGGTCTTTTTTGCCAACTGAATGAACGAAAAAATTAATAATGGGGGGTGTCACATCCCCTCCCCCAACTTATCCCATTGCGCCGGTCTTGTTTGTATAAGGTATTACTGTTGAAGTTGTATTTTTTAACAGACCTGTCTTTGAGTTTGTTTTCGATGAGCTCCGTTTAATGTAGACTTTGTTTTGGAATTCGTTAAGAAGTTAAAATAGGTTTATATAATTTAGTTTATTTAAAAAGATTAACTTTCTTGATATCATTTGCTATTAGATGCTTAAATTTATTTGTTTTTTAACTTTTATCTAATACATTTTTTTATTTAGTAATATTATACCATAAAAGAAATGAGCAATAGCATCTTAATTTTTATTTTAGGTACAAATTTAGTTTTATTAACGTATGACGTAAAAGTTAATGAGGCCCTTCGAAAGCACCAATAGCGTCCGGGTCGCAACAAATGGAAAGCGGTACACTTATTTTAAGCCCGTAAAAAAAGAAAATACAATAAAAATATATACAAAGTTTAAAGTTTTGTGAACGCAGCAACTGTCTATCTCTAATGCAGCTAATTGTATTTCTATGTATTGTTAATTCTCTGGTTTTACAAACGGTTCATTAATCAAAACACATGTATAACTAAAAATATTTGCATTAATTTTAATGAAAGAAAATTCAATAAAAAAAATCTTCGCGAAAGGTAAATAAGGTGCTTAAAAACAATTTTTTGATTACTTTACTAAACGACTGTTCAAATTCAGCAACTTACAAAGGAACAGTGTTAAAAATCTGATTTTTCTGATTTTGAAAGATTTTCTGATTTTTTAAGATTGTCAAATTTGAAAATAAAACATGAAAAAAAAAACGAGAAAAAGGCGTTCAAGCTTCTTATCAAAAATTCGATTGAGGAGCTGCAGTAAAGTTCTTTGCTTGAAAACTATTTCAAAATGGTGTTATGTTAAAATGGAAAACTTCTATAATGAGATCCTTTTGTTCACATCTTTTGAACAAAAAGATTATATATATCCAATCAGATGAATGAAAACATTTTGTTAACCACCCTGCCTGCTACAAATATTGAATTAATTTGCTGTATCAGACAATTTGAATATTTTAGTTTAGCTGTCTTGGAAATGGGTTGTGTTTGATGCCTCATTGTAGAAGGGCTTTAGTTTAGGGTTCCTTTTAGTGACTATTTCAGTTTTAAACCTTAACAATCCAGCAAGAGCTATAGCCTTTTAGAAAACATGCAACCAAGAGCTCCTAATCTATTTAATATCTTCCAGCAGGTGTCCAAATAAAAGTAGCTTGTAATCGATGGTAATGGCAGTAGGAGCAGATAGGGTTTCGTACCAAATTGTAATAAGCAACAAAAATTTATAAGATAAACTATTTTTTAAGATACTTGCTCTACTGAGCTGCTCACTAGTCAGATCCAGGTTTTCAATTACATGTTTAAGAGCTGCAAACATGTTTATCAACCTCTTTATAAGTGGCTTGATCGAGTTAGTAGAAGCGCTCCATCTTGTAAAAGACAGTCTTTGCAATGAAATTCCTGACGTTTGAGTGGGGATTCTTCTTCGGTTTGAACTAGCACTAAAAAGTACGTAAAAAATTCAGCATTTCCAAAAAACACTTTGATCTCAATTGCTGATTCAATTTTGTGCACACAGGCGAATTTAGACTGTGAGAGCTACTGTGAACGTATAGAGTTTACAAATGGTTTTTTTATATTGTATACCTAAAAATAGCTTTGCTTAATTTGAACATTTGAAACTTCAACACACGAGAATTGTTCTTTGGTTTTCAAGCAATTAGTTTTATTTCATAGACAAAAAAAATAATATATAAGGTTACCTGCTCAGTATGAGATAAATTGAGGGTACCATCGACTATGACGGTAAAGTAGAAACCATCTTAGATTTCTTCAACAGCTGCACTTCGGGTAAAACCACCGCAGTCTCTGACGTAATCATTTTGAAACAACAAAGAGAGATAGAGAGAAATCATTTCGGATTCCTCTTATTAATGGTGGCTTACTTTTTACTAGTGGGATGCTATAAAAAAATTATGGAAACCCACATTAATTATATTAGCAAAAAAGTTAAACCTCTTTTTGTGTTCAATATTTTTAATTAAATTACTACAATATTATAGTTATTAGTTATTATTATTAGTAATTAAAATTGATATTGAGAGAACTTTACAACAAGTTAACTAAAAAAGCGAAATTCCTAGATGCTAAAAAAGAGTAACATGCACAATTTCATAAACTATCTACCTTAAAATTTATATGCTTCTAAAGGTCTTAATCTATACCAGTAGAGCTAAAAAGACGAACTTAAACCTCTACTCAATCTATGTAGAACCCTTGGTGCAATGGAATGGATTGATGCTGTTTCATACAATCTAAAGTTTTCTTCATTGATCTTTTGCTCCTTAATTTAAACGAAAAAAGAAACGAGTCCCCGTTTTTGAATGCTACTTTCGTACTCAAGTGATAGCAAGGAAACAATAGAGAATCAAAAACTTTCTTTTTACTTTTTCTTTGTTTAGCAAATTTTAATAAAACATATTCAAAGAAAAGAGTCTCTTCTTAAAAATACGGGGAAAATATCGTATCATCAAAAGCAATAAAAATGAATTCATTTAAAGCGTTTTGATTCCAGTGGTTCTCTATGACAAGACATCAAGGACTTCTTCGAGTTTCCGCAATCTTTATTCCTAATTTTTGTTGTTATATTTATTTTTATATTTCTATTATTAACAAAGTCTTTATTGTAAATATTATTTATTTCTTTTTTATTTCTTACGTTTTATTCATATAAAGTTATAATAAAAATTGTAATAATGATTGTAATAAAGAATAAAAAAAAAAGTTATGCCACATCAGTTAGGAAAAAGACGTAAACTTCCTATTAAACGTTTATCCGCGGTTCTCTGTGATTAGACCGAAAGGACTTCTTGGGGCACCTAATTAAAATTGAAAACAAATAATAAACAAAAATGAAAAAATAAATTAAAAATATATATACATATAAACGTACATAAAAAAAATTTATAAACACGCATATAAGAATGAATCAATGCTCATATAAGAATGAATAAACACCCATATAAAAATGAATAGACTCGCATATAAAAATAAAACCTGTAAAACAAAAATCATAATATTAAAAATTATTATTAAAAAAAAAAAATTTAAGGTGGCTCAATAAATACTTTAGCTCTTGTTTATTTCTAACCGATTTTGCAAAACTTGCTCAGAGATGGGTTTAAACCATCAATCTTATATTTCTACGGCAAGTGCGCTACTAATGTGTAAAAATATATATATTTAAATCTTTGATAAAACTAACTTATTTATTCTTTCATTAGAAATTGCCTATAAATTACTCAACACTAAAATTGTTTTGAAAAAATTGAGGAAATCTTAAACTATTTACAAAAATCTTACATTCTGAACGCATTACGCTTTGGACAGATGACTAATTTTACTAGATGTAAGTTTTCAAAAAGGTTTTAACTATTGAATTTTTAAGAGCAACTACTTCTTTTTGAATATGTGCTGTTAGATTTTTAACCATTAGACTCAAAACGTCAAAAATATTACCTCTAACTTATTAAAGGAAATAAAACAAGTCTTCAACTTGGTTAAAATAGAGCCTTTTTGTTAAAAGGCTTTAAAAATTTACAAGTTTTGATTCATGCCTACTTTTAATTAAATATTTTTAAATGTGCTTTTTATTACTAAACAATTTACTGTTTTATTTTAGGTTTTCTACAGTTAAAATATGATTTTAGTTATGTAAATTTTCATAATTTGAAGTTTGCTTTATTAATCATTATAGGTGCCCCACAAACCTTAAACATTCAACGGATCCCAATATCTTAAATTTATTAAATTTAAGTCATGTCTGGTCTCAAATAAATTAACATTATACAAAAATCTAAAATATATTAGTCATCTGTATATATATATATGTACATTATATATATATATATATACAGATATATATACATTATATATAAATATATATATATATATATATATATATATATATATATATATATATATATATATATATAATACATATATATATATATATATATATATATATATATATATATATATATATATATATATATATATATATATATATATATATATATATATATATTTATATATACGTCTGAAATATGTTAGTTATTTGCATATATATATATATTATATATATATATATATATATATATATATATATATATATATATATATATATATATATATATATATATACGTCTGAAATATGTTAATTATTTGCATATATATATATATAATATATATATATATATATATATTTATACGTCTGAAATATGTTAGTTATTTGCATATATATATATATATATATATATATATATATATATATATATATATATATATATATATATATATATATATATATATATATATATGTATATATATATATATATATATATATATATATATATATACATATATATATATATATATATATATATATATACATTGTATATATATATATGCATTATTTTGTTTGTATATATATATGCGTTATTTTGTTTACTTTAACTATTTTTTTGTTAAATCTTTACTTGCAAATACATTTTCCGCATCATATATGACTAACCGGTTGCATAAAAACTGATTCTAGTGCAATATCATACTTAAAATCGTAGTCATAGATTTTGTGCAACGTCATATTTAAAACCAGTCTTACCAAGTTAGCAAAATGCTTTTTCAAAACATTTTTTTGACGTTTTTATTAGGTTTAAATTTAGTAAAACATCCAAATAGCTTTTAAAAAATGTACCCTGCCCACTAGGTAACTCTTAGTCCAAGAAAGAAAAGGTTTTAAGATAATATTGGTTTTAAGACTATATTGGTAGGTAAAAACTATTAGAGGGTTTAAAAATTAGTATTATGACATCTCAAATCAAAAATCTTTATTTTGCGAATCCAAACATTGTTGGACTAATCTTAAGGTACCTGGGAGAAAGACATAGATTACCTATATTGGTAGCAAAAGTTTTAGCAATTATAATTCAATGCTGGGTTTCGAACTGTTAATTTAAATGACTTTTTGTGTTTTTTATTTGTACATCTTAAGTTATTGTAAAGCCTAAGACCTGCGGGCTTAACAGAGACCCAGGGAAAAAAATAAATTTTACTTAGCCCTGGGCTGGTCCGACACTAATTACAAATATATGTTTACAAATGATGTAATCTTAGTATCATTTAGGTTTTTATTGATCTGTGTATTATTTGTAATTTTTTATCTTTATTTATATTAATATAGTTGTGGTGTATGTTATATTATGCAGGGAATAAGAAAAGAACAAGATTCTCATGTCAGTTCTTCAATACAAAACCATCTTTCAATGGCAATATCAAATGTTTTTGGACTTGAAAATAAAATTATATTAAATGAGAAAGAAACGGAAACAAAAATGACCATCCTTAAAAATGAAATGGTAAGAAAGTAGTTTGAATATAAAATTGTTTCAAAATAAATATAGTTTAATAATAATTTTTACATGAAAAATGTTATATATGTTATATAAATATATAAACTATAAACGACATATTTATTGTGCCTAGCATAAAAATCTGTGAATACACACTCAACACTAAGCATTGAAAAGTAAAACTTAAAAAAGGTATTAAAAAAAAGGAAAATGAAGATAGAAAAGACAATAAAATACTAACAATAATATATGTTATTCAAAATAAAATTTATTTCTATACATACTTAAAAAAATAAGATTAAATCTTTTTCATTTAACCATTTTTTTTTATATATCACATGACCAAACACATAAGGTAGAAAATTATACTCTACACAGTAACGTATTTCAATCTACCTTTAAATAAATATATTAAAAAAAAAATCTAAATGTATAATTAACTACCTAAGTAGCAAACAATATTGGCGGAATACTGGGGCGATATTGTTTACAATATTGGCACAATATTATAGACTATATCGGTTCAATATTGTAATGTGAACATTTTGCCAATATTGGCTAATATTGGCCAATATTGGCGATACAATATTGCGCCAATACTGTAAAAATAATATTGGCCATTATTGTCAAAATGTTAAAATTGCAATATTGGCGCGATAATGCTTAAAATATTGCGCCAATATTGTAAATAACATCGCGCCAATAAAGAGGATATAATACTGGCCAATATTAGCGTAATATAGTTTACAATATTATCCTGATATATATAATATATATAACTATGTTAAGGCAATATATTGAGTATTTTCGATTAAGTTTTTATTATTAAAAAATAATAAAAAAAATTGCCTACTACATTTTTATAATAATTAAAATTTATAACAGTTTTCTTGTTTAAACGATACTATAGTACTAGGCTGCATTATTCTTTTGAGTTAAACAGGTCAGAGTCTAGGAGATGACAATGATCATACAACACTCTTTAAGAAAAAAAAAAATGAAAATCATTAAATTTATTTTAAGTTATATGAAACAGATACAAATGAAAAAAAGACTTCCAAAAAAAGACTTCCAAAAAGTTTTCCAAAACCAAAATATAACAAAATAAAATCAATACTATTTAAATAGAGGTAAAAAAATTATGTATATATTCATTTATAAACTACTGTATTAAACTGTCACTACTAGATAGAGGGCATCGATTTTCATTGTTTTGGCGATACTTATTTCATTGCTCAATATTGGGCGTTGCTCAGTTACGGTACTATTTTTCTTCCGTAATATTTATTAATGGCCGTCGTCAGAAAGCTGCCAATTTTTTTTTAATACTTTAGTCAGTAGCAATTTCGAAATGAACGAATACAACGATAAATGACTAAACGCAACTCTACAAAATATTTTTTCAATATCATCACAATATAATTTTGAAATATGAAATTTTTAAGTATAAATATTGTAAAATAATTAGCATTTATTAAAATATTTATTTATTAAAAGGAAATGGGATGTAGAATATAAATATTGTGATTTATCTATAACGACCGTGTTGGACGATTTTGTTTCCTTCCATACATTAAGTATGAAAATCTAACTTCTTTGGCTATTAGCTGTATTAAGATTGCTGCTGTAAGTTTTTTCTTATCTCCTCCAACCGAAGTAAGAAAATTCATCTTAAAAAAAAATATATATATAGTAAAATTGTTTGTAATAAAGTTTGAATGGTTCCTCTTATGTGTAGGGGAAGTAGGGGCATAACCGCGCCCGTAACGTTTGGAATAATGTTATATGAAAATAAAAACGAAATGTGTTTTTTTAGCAGTTTATTTCAATAACCACATCATTAAGCTTTAAATTGATGCGTTTAAGAAAAAACTTAAGCAGGTTTTGAAAATGTTATTACACAAAAATTACACATAGTGAAAAAAACGGTTTTGCCCCCATTGTAAGGCACAACCGCACCCTCAAAAAAATCGATGGGGCTACAACTTTCATGGTACATTATTTTTACAATTTTCACAGCTTAGATTATTTGATAATTTTGTTGCATGTTTGCATATTTTGTAGGCATTCTTTGTGTTTACATTTTGAGTTCTGCCCCAGAAGAGAGTTCTACCCCAGAAGAGAGTTTTTAGAAAGAATTCAGTTTCATAGATTAATTATCAGATTATGATATTATTAAAAATGACTTTCACTTCATGAAATAATGCTGATAACACATATTTTTAACACTAAAATTAAATATTGCTTAATTCTCAAAAAAAAGGTCAGGAAAAATATGATTAAATATAATATTTTTATCAAAATAAAAATTATTATTCACAACTTCTCAAAAACTTAACAGTCACTCTTTTTGACATTTGCAAAATGAAGGAAACTGTTTTACTAACGCGTGGTATGTTTTTTGCCGTATTAGATAACATTTTTTGAAGAGAAATGTTAAAAAACGGTTGCGCCTCCATATGCGGTAATGCCCCCACTTCCCCTATATATTAGACGGTTTTCCATAATGTGCTTCTTATTAAAAGATGATATTATGGAAAAGTAAGAGCAATTGGTTGTAAATAAATGAGGTCAACCTTTTTTGCAGATCAGGACTAATTTTTTTTTTATAAAACTTTTATAATGTAACACTTGGAAGAGTACCATCCAGAATCTTCAACAGGTTTGTGAGCTTTTCCTACCCTTGATCACAATAAAAAAGCAGTATAAAATTCTCCAAGATTGGTTGTATTCGCCACAGCAAAAAGCTGTGGTGATTACAATGAAAAGATATAATCGATGTCTGAGATTAGCAGTTATTGCTACACAAACTACATTGCTAACTGGGCATAAAAGATAAAAAATCAAAACAAAATATAATAGACATTTATATAAAACATTCTTATATACATCATAATTATAATCAATTATGTATCATATTGTATCATTTGTTTGTATGTTTCATATGAATGTATCATATTTTTTTTAAAAAAGAAACTTTAATAGTATATCGAACTGTTTCCAAAACTATTAACTAATAATAATTTACTGATACATAATCAATGATTCATAATGTGCTTTTGTTCCATAATTTTTCTTCCAGGTTAAGATGATCTTTTTTCCTCTTTAACCAACAAAAAAATCAATAAACTCAATAAATTGAAAGAGATGGTCAATCAAAGCTCTTATGAGAATACTTTACCCTTAAAAACTAAAGGTTTCTTATATCCTTGAGAAACTGATGTACAATCTCATCAGTGTCACTATTTTTGTAACCTTCAACTTTTTAAGCTGGAGGCATAAATAATTTTTCTTCATCACTATCAACAGCTGTTTCAAAGCTTAATGTAACTCTAACATTTCTAAAGCAGTTTCTTAACTGTCAAAAAAAATATAAAGAAAAAATGAAACCATGCTAAAAAATGAACAGTATTTGAGTCAAATAAAGCTGTCTAGATCATTAGCATCTTGCACGTGTGTAACTTAAAATTAAACAAGCAAAAACAATATTGTAAATAAGCAATTACCATAATAATAAAAAAAAATTATTTTCAGCTGATTCCAGTTATTTTAAAAGCGTGGCTTCACGTAAGGCAGCCAAAAAGATGCTTGCAAGTGATTTGGCCAATACATCAAACTTTCTTTGATCAGCCATGAAAAACAGGTTACATACATTGCATACATGTTGTTTTTCTATTAAAAAGTTCAGCCAATTTTTTTTAATATTAAGTCTTTGTTCTTACAAGTTTTTTTTCTTATTGAGTACAATAAAACTTATAATTTAAAAAAATTTTCTTGAACATAAGTAATGATATATATATATATATATATATATATATATATATATATATATATATATATATATATATATATATATATATATATATATATATATATATATATATATATATATATATATATATATATATATATATATATATATATATATATATATATATATATATAGCACCAAAAACAAGTTTAAACATTTTGTTTTTACTTTAATTTTTTTTTAAATATATAAAGTTAATGCTGAATGAGTATGTGTTATGGCTAAACTTTGAATTTAGTGCAATCAAAAGGTTTTGTTTTGTAGTAAGTAAAAAGGAAATAAAAATTAATTAATGAAAAAATGTCTATTGCTTTTGTATTGAGTAGATAAAGTTGAGAAATTAGTTCATTGGCTACCAGACACGTCAGAGCAAGAACTTAATTTAATCCAAGTAAGTTTAATTATCTTATAATAGTTTTATAA